TCTACCTTCAGGATATTCGAGACGCGCTTGAAAATATGCGCTCGACGCGTGAAATTAATGCGAAATTTGTTCCGTGAAAAGAGGGAAAAGGGGAAAGGGGGGTGGGGGCACAAAGGCAATGGCTCGATATAACGATCAAAAGGCGGTTTGTGCGAAAAGACACTTCGCATTTGAAGCTTCTACGTGCTTCTACCGTGCAAATTGTCAAGTATTTGCCCTCCCGGGTTTTTTTCCCGGGCGGAAAACAAGATCGAAAGAGAGAGAAAGGCGATTTCACTTATTGCGAAAACAACAAAGAGGCGATTGAGAAGCGCAAATGTCTTTTCGAGAGTTGCCGCGCGTTTCGCATCGGTGCGGCAAAGGGACAAAGGGTATGATGAGGAATGAAGGATCGAGATGAAATTATCTTCGTGATTGAGAAGGAGAAAATTCTAGACTGCTCGCACTCGACCTCGCTTACGTCATTCGCTTTAAAAGCCACTCTTCTCTACCGTCCCGTTTTCAATCTCACGATTTTTCGTCGATGTCGTCGATGTGTTAACAAAATATCGCGAATTTCATTATAAGTTTTCCGATGTCCGTTCTTTCTTCGACTGTTCTCTTTACCCCGCTGGACATCGAAACAAAAATCGGACATTTTTCCCGACGGCTCACGAGTCGAGGGAACTAATTGAGATCGACTCGAGTGCCAGTTTAACGGGAAAATGGAAGGCGAGTTGGTAAGAATGTCCGTATCCGAAAGTGCAGATGCCATTCATACAATTTTGATAAAATTCTAAAAGCAGTTTTCGTTTAAAAGCACTTGATGCCGCGTTTTAAAAGGCTCGCTCCTCGTGATATTCCATACATCGTGTCACGATTTAAAGCAGTTCCGCGTTGCGGACGTGGCCGGAATAGATACCGGCACATCGCTTTATTTCGTCACTTTACAATAACATAACGTAAGGCGTCCACTTTCACAAAAGGAAATTTATTCAGAGATACACAAGTTTCGTTATATCCACTTTTGCTCGCGAGAGAAACGCTATGTATTTTCAATTTCTACAAGCTGCGGAACTACTATCGATTCTACGATATTGAAACGTAACTCTCGATCATTCAATATCGTAATATCGTAAGACCCATTTTTTTTCTATCCGTTGTATATGATTATTATTGCAGTAGCATAGCTTTTCCATCGTTATTCCAGCGTTATTATTTATTCTCTGTCACACATCTATCAAATTAGTTCAGACCTGTCGCCATTAACTTGCTGACTAATGTAATCTCAATTTATCACCGGATTCCCTCGATCTTGAAACGTTGTAAATATTGATAAGCAAGGATAGAAATATATTCTTGATGTCGCCGCGAGAATTGGATAAGTAGAAAGAATTTTGCCCTGAAAGATCTCGCGAAGAAGTGACATTACAAATGGAAGGGGAACAAGAGGAATGGGAAAATGGACTAAAACAGAAAGCGGATACCTGGTTTTATCTCAAACTCGGTGCACTCTGTGCCGCTCTTGAAACATTTTCGGTAGACAAAGTCGCTGAGATCCTAACCGTTTCCTTCGTCTTATGCAATTCACTTCCGATGGAAGCTTCACGCTAGTCCACGGCATTTGGCGTGCGACGTGAACCGACTTGGAATCGAGTGCTGCATTTATTAGCATTTCTAAACAACTGTGAACTTTGCTCGCCTTAAACTTACGTCCGTTATCACCGAGACAGACAATTTGGTGCAAGATTGCACCGCATCGCTAATTGTACGCTCAAGTAAAACCCGATTTTCAATATGTAAATGTAATCCGCGAAATTTTCATCGACCATTAAAAACCAACGAAAGAAAAAAAAAACAGAAAGAAACAGAAATGGAAGAGAAATCTTAGGAAAATTTCTGCGTATCGTATTGAATATGACAGAGAGCAAACCTGTGTCATTTTTATTCAAAAATAAGGCAAGTAAGGCAAGCGTTCGCAACAAAGTGCATGGAATTTCATTTTTACTCGATGAAAGTTTATACAATATAAATATCAGCTCTGGCGGACCGATCACCTTACCGCACGGTTTCGCATTTTTCGTTTGTTTCTACTGGCATTCTCGCATTTTTCCTTCCACGTGTATTTATCTTGCTTCTTCTTTTAATAGCGTGCAGCAAAAGAGACTGCATAAAGACGCTTATTTAAACTTTTCTACAATCACAACATTCAAAATCCGTAGAACGTATATTTAGAAAAACTGTTTATCGATGAAAGTATTAATTATCGCAAAATTAAATTCCAATATTTATCGATAAGTACAAGTTGGCTTGATTTTATGAAGATAAAGATGAGCAGGTCAATCATCAATACGATCACGTGTAGCTTTCTATCGCAGAAAAATTCGCCGAGTAAAATTATTGGAATTCTTGCGTCGACACGTAATCGCATAGTGCTAACGGATTTCCGAACCGTAAATATTCTTTGCTTTTAATCAAAATGTTAGAGGTTACTTGCTATCAATACTGGAGCACTAACACAACTTTCTAGTAATAGGTAATTCTACATTTTCGTTCAGTCAATATTTGTATTTGAATTAAAAGGATTATAAAGATTTGCGCGCAAAA